AGAAAAGTCAAGCGAAAGTTGATGCAAGAGTTTGAAATGTCCAACCTAGGGAATTTTTCATATTTCTTAGGGATGGAGTTCAAATACACAGGTGAATGAGTGTTCATGCACTAAAAGAAGTATACCCAAGATATCTTGAAAAGGTTCAAGATGAGAAACTGTAATGCAACTACTATGCCATTAGAAACTAGAGCAATGTTGATGAAGGAGACAAATGATGAGTTTATAAGTGCGACACAATATAAAAAATTATGGATCCTTGAGGTATCTTTGTAATACCAGGCCAAACATTTGTAAAAGGGTCGAATTGTTAAATAGATTCATGAGAAATCCTAAGAATGTCATCTCACAGTAGTTAAGAGGGTGTTGAGATATATAAAGGGTAAGATTGATCATGGTGTGATGATTCCAAGGCATAAGATGACCAGGATATATGCAGAAGTATATGGCTACACTGATTCTAATTTTAGTGGAAATCAAGACAAAAAAAGAGTATTAAATGCTACATATTCATGATTGAAGGCACTCCAATCTAATGGAGCTTAAGGAAGCAAAGCATTGTGGCTTAGTCATATGCAGCATGACAAACATCATGGATAGAGATATTGCTCGAAGAGCTCAAGATAATGGAACCTAAGAAAATGAAGTTGTTTGTCGATAAAAAGTCAATTATTGACCTGGTGAATCATCCAGTGTGTCATGGTCGAACTAAGCATATAGAAAGAAGGTATCATTTTCTGAGGGATCAAGTTAACAAATGAAATCTTGAACTTGAGAATTGCAAGACACAATGGTAACTATCTGATATACTCACCAAATCCCTAAAGAATGTTAGGTTTGACGAGTTGAAGAGAAGCATCAGGATGAGAAGTCTCGAGAACATGAATTAAAGGGTGTGTTAGAAGTCTCGAAATATCTAATTTGAGGTATAGGATAAGCTGTATTCGACTCTGTCGAATACAACATTTAGTTGGCAAGTCGAAATGTTTTAGGCATGTGTTAAATTGTATAGTTTTGGGTATGGGATTTAGTTGTCTATATAAAGGGCTTTGTATGATGTAAACAAGAAAAACTTCACTCAATCATAATTTTCATAATTTAGTTTACAGTTTTCTCTTTCTTTCATATTTCTTGAAAACATTTATTCCAACAATGGAGAAAAGAAAAATAAAATATTTTGCATCACATAAATAAATAAAAGGTTTTTAAAACGGCAACAGTTTAAAGTATAACAATTTCACATTTGAGACGGTTAGTAAAGTCGCAAAAAAATTTAAAAAACAAAAATGATAAATAAAATAAATGACGGTTACAACAATCACAATTTTAGTTTGGTGGCAATTTCAGAACCGTTGCAAAATGTTATGGCAGTTGGAGCAAAGATTTTTCAAACCTCCGCTAAACTGACTCGTGACAAAATGTTTTGCAATAGTTGGCAAACCATCACAATCCAAAGTTAGCAATGGTTAAAAATGTCGCAACCTAGAGTTAGTGAAGGTTAGAACTACCATAATACAAAAAAAAAACTACCGTGAATCCCTTTTTATCTTGTAGTGAGTGATGTGGGTGACAAGCATTTTAGGAGAATAATGTAGAATTCAAGTTTGAGTAATTAGTTTCCACATCGACTGTGAATGGATTAAATATTAGATATATAAGAGGAGACACTAAGATCTCTAATCGCCCTTTTATCGGATCACATGACCCTTTATTGAATGTATTGCCATTTTTTTAGTTGTATCACCCTTTTTTGGGTTAAGTCGACTGAGCGTTGAAATGTGTGATGTGCTCTCCTCATGTAATTGCACAGAAAAAGTAGTGAGAGAGGTGGACTACATTCCTCTGAATATTAAGAGGAAAACAACCAGTTCTTGAGTGGTTGCTACTTCCAAGGAGGCCTCAGATTAAGGCTCAATACAGTTATAAATATCTCATCACCACAGTTGAGAAAGGGTGAGGACAACTACATCATAACACATAAATAGACACATACAGAAGCTTGTCACTTCACGTGAGCTAGCTCTCAACCTTATAAAATCCTTAAAGCCTCTAACAACCCTTATTCACTAGGGGTTGTCACACATTTTCACTTATAGAAAGTAGAATTGACACCCAGTGTGGGGCACCAGTAGAACTAACCTGGGCTACCATCACATCATTAACTGAAATATCGCCATCACGTTCATCCTCTTTATACATCATGGCTGATGAATAAAAAAACGACAACTTCGACCAACAATGAACCTGACAGCGATGAAAGTGTCATAACAGAGATGTGCGATGCTATGGACAATCTCCATCACCAAAGCCAAACCCTAGAGGATAACATCCTTCATATCCAGCATCTCCAATAGGAGAAAAATATGGTGGACGAATTGGAGGTATTGAATCCCCAACCTCCATCGGATGAGATTTGGGATGCACCTGTTCGACGGATGCAACGATGCAATAAGCATATGGCCTCCATCAACACCCAGATGGCTATCATTTGAAGCACATGACTCCTTGAAATGCAAGCTTATGTCAGGTACCTTAAGAGATGCAACTTTGAGGAGGTTTATAGGCTTCCCCAGGCTCTTTGTCACCAGCTATCAAGATCTAGTAAAAAAGATAGTCCACCAATTCACCACAAGCAGACATAGGAAATTAACCTCCATTAGTCTATTTAACATTCTCCAAGGTTCCTCAGAGCCACAGAGGGAGTATCTCTCAAGCTTCAACAAAGAAACAATCAAGGTAGTCCACCCAAACCAAGAAATGTTCTAGGAGCATTTCAGAATAGGTTCAAGACAGGACCCTTCGACGAATCTCTCGCCCTGAGACTGGTTACGTCTCTGGCTGAAGTAGTAATGTGAGCATAATGTTACATTAAAGGCGGTAAGAATAATGCTGAAAAGAAGGCTCGAGATGAAAAAGAACCCATTTCCAATATAGACAGCTCACAAAGGTATCAATACGTGTCGTCCATGAGATACATAATTGTGTTCAAACAAAGTGGAAAATCCATCGAAATCTTCACTCACCCGATTATCCATTGGAAGAAAATATGGCGAGAAGTCCTACATATGCATAACATCCCTCAACCTCAAATGCCCAAGACGAACGTCTTGAGGCCTGATCCTCAAATTGGTTCAAGTTCCAAAAGGTTAAGAGACATCAAATGAAGGACTAATACAAACTCAAAAATGAGATAGAGTGCCTCGTCCAGGAGGGACACCTGAAAGATTACATCAAGGGGAACTTTGTTTTAGGATCAGGTGAATCCAACTCTCAAGGGTGAGATTCCTCAAATAGACTAGGATATAAGAAAGGGAACAAGCCATCCAAAGGAGGAGAAGACATGTTTATTTACTATATCTTAAACACCATTGAGGGAGGGTTTGCTGGAGGCAGAAAGACTAGTTACGCCAGGAAGAGATATGTGTCGCATCTCAAAAAATATGATCCTTCGCGAAGTCGCAGAAAAAATGATTCGAACAGAGTCACCATCAAACTTTATTTATTTTCAAAAGAGGAAAGGAAAAACATTGATACAACCCTTAAATGAAAAAGAAAATGGTCGTCGCAACCAAATTCGGCTTCGGGAGTCAATTACGCAAGGGAAAGGTATTAGCACCCCTCACGTCCGTTGTACTTAACAAAACCTTTTAGTTAGATTTGCGATTGAATGTTAGCCATCGTTAATTGTTTTCTTCGAATGATAAAAAGTGCAAAAGGAAAATAAAAGGGGTCGCAAAAAATGTTTTTATTAGGGTGCTTGGCAAAATTGTGGGTCTTGCTCCTACGTATCCTTAAGTACAATTAGGAACTCAAAGATTCGTTGATTCAACATGAGAGATATTGTCGAAATTCGCCAATCTACCACCGATTGAATGCAATATACGACTTTGCAATATTTCTTATTCGCCTCCTTGTTTGCGACTCTCTGAGCATCGATTGCATTCTCAGAAAGCTCAAGGACGTCATTAGTAACCACTTATAGGGTTTCATGAAAGACAAAAAGAGATTGCATCTATTTTTTCCATTGGATCCAATTCTTGCTGTCAAGATTTGGAAGAGAACTTGGAATGTCATTAATACCATTCATTTTTGCAGCTATTGATTAACAAACCATAATCCCAAAAATACGATCACTGACGTGTGATTCTTGAAAACACGATCAAGAACTTAACCATAGCTCTAGACACCAATTTGTTATTGTGTGAGACACTTTTAGTGAGAAGAGAAAGAATATGAAAAATAAGGATTATATTATTGAATTATGATTGTGATACAAAACTAAATTACAAAATATCTATTTATATACACATAAGTGACTTGATTACTAAGTAACAAATATAACAAACTAATTAAAAAACCTTAAACTCTAATTAACTTTAGAATTGAGGCACACAGGTTAGATTATATTATAATTCAAAAAAAAAAACACCTATTTATACCAAAAAAAGATATGGTTCAAAAAAATCAAAAAACAAATTATAGATCAAAATCAAGGTTTACCATATTAACAAGAGTTTTAAAATTTTTGAAATATTTCTGAAAAGTTTTAAAATGAAGAAAAGAATGTCTCTTTTATCATTTTTTCTAGCAATTCCCACACCCAACATTAAAGTAAGCCCATTATAAGAGGCCTGAAGAAATAGTCCAAAACTCAAAAAGAAACAAACAATCATCATGGCCCATGCTTCACTCACTTTTTTCTTAAAACCAAAACTAAATTCAGAATAACAATTAAAAATTTTCCCACGCAGCAACTACGTTCTCACGAGGGCTCTCATCGTTTTTGTTGTTTCCACTATAAAATAATAACAACAAAATATAAACATTTAATAACACCGATGCGAGTTCCACGAGAGTTACTTTTTTATTCTAATGACTATACAACTTTTTTATTTATTTTGCTTCAACAACTAACAAATGAAAGTTACATTATATTATATATAAATAAACCATACACAACTTAATTTTGTAGTGAGAAATATTCAAGCTATTGACTTGTTATGGCAACTTTCACACTTCACAAAGAAACAGTTCAATCATGGTTACTTCTAAGTAGAACACACATATTATTCCACTTCATATGTGTCTTGTTTCTCTTTTACTACCGTATCAAAAATTTCATTGTCACCTATCCATGGATTTTAATGACACTAGCTGAAACTATTCTATCAATCATGTGGTTTTTCAACCAAGCGTACCGGTGGCGGCCGGTGAGTCGTTCGGTTATGACCGAGAAACTCCCGGCGGACGAGAAACTACCGGGACTCGACATATTTGTGTGTACGATCGATCCTGAGAAAGAACCGACCGTCGAAGTTATGAACACGGTTGTTTCCGCTATTGCTATGGATTACCCTAGTGATAAACTTTCTGTCTATCTTTCTGATGATGGTGGTTCTCCTGTTACTCTTTATGGGATTAAAGAGGCTTCTGAATTTGCTAAAGTTTGGGTTCCTTTTTGTAAAAAATATGGTGTCAAATCAAGGTGCCCTAAGGTTTTTTTCTCTCCTTTGGCTGAGGATGAACATGTTCTTAGGTCACATGATTTTCAAATAGAAAGAGACCAGATTAAGGTATTTTATATGCTCTATATAGCTACTTTATATATATATATATATATATATATATATATATATATATATATATATATATATATATATATATATATATATATATATATATATATATATATATATATATATATATATATATATTTATTGTGCTAATTCGATGATTTAACAATTTGACAGGTAAAGTATGAGAAAATGCAGAAAAATATTGAGAAATTCAGTTCTGATCCGAAGAATCTTTGCATGGTTAATGACAGACCTTCTCGGATTGAGGTATGGCTAATAAAAAATGAAGTTGGATTATGATCAATAATCACTATATAGTTGATCTACATATAAATTATATATATTAGTTATTTAATTAATCTAAAAATAAATTTTATATTAATAATATAAAACGGATAGAGTAGTCTCTGAAAATGTACACAAAAAATACTTAATTTATACACTCAGAAAAACAAAAAAATATATTATGAGTAATATAATTTGAAGTAAAAATAAGTTAGGTTGAGTCATACTTGTTTAAATAAGTCATATCTAAAATTTAAAATAAGTTTAATTTATAAATTTAATAGTCATGCACTAACACTTTAAAAATTATTTACACTGTTATTTAATAATAATTTATCACTTAATCATATCATATCATTAATTTAAAAATTTACAAAGTAATAGAAGAATATACGATCATAATTGATTAATATTATAGATTTATTTTACACTGTAAATATATATTCTATTTTCTCTTAATTTATTATACAGAAAAAAATATTTTAAACTTAAAAGTGGTATTTTTAACAAATGACTTGATAACTTGCTATATAAACTTTTTAAAGAAAATTTGGTTTATTTTTAAAAAGGTTTGAAAAAAACTAGTAATACGAACTTTATGTTAAACTTTACTTTATTAAAACATTTATTAAACTTTGTAGAGAGTCTAAGTTGTTTAAATAAATGAATTAAAAAAAAAATTAAATCAAACATTTTTATTAAACGAGCTTGATCGAACTGAATTTTAAATATATTATATTTTAGATTATTGTCGGACAGTCTAATCTATCTCCAATCTATAATTAAATTAATCTAAATAAAATTTTCAAGTTAAAATCGAGTTCAATTAAGTTTTATTATCGTCCTAATAAATATTTGTTTACCGCTAAATTAATAAAAAAGTATTTTTTAAAATAATTAAAAAATCAACTTTTATTATTTACTAATGATAAATAATTCAAATAATTTTTATTTTTAATACTACTTTATATTTCTTATTTAAGATTATAAACGACGAATCAGAAATTCCACGTGTCGTTTACGTATCTCGTGAAAGAAGGCCATCACTTCCTCACAAATTTAAAGGAGGTGCCCTCAACACATTGGTATGTATTTTCAAATTCTATATCATATTAAAATAATTTTGTGGTGTAGTTAACAAAATTTAACATTTTTTTATTGTATTTGCAGCTTAGAGTCTCAGGTTTAATAAGTAATGGACCTTATGTACTTGCAGTGGACTGTGATATGTATTGCAATGATCCATCCTCAGCAAAACAAGCAATGTGTTTCTTTCTTGATCCAGAAACCTCTAAATATATTGCTTTTGTTCAATTCCCTCAAATGTTTCACAATCTTAGCAAAAAAGACATCTATGACAACCAATCTAGAACTGCTTTTAAGGTATATAAGAGCATTTTTAATGAGAGTAAACTAAATAGGTAAACTAAAATATTTTTTGTGGATCCAAAGTGTTTTGTAGGATTTAAAAAATTTATAGTTGATTTGAGTAGTTTTTACTTTAACGATGGTTGTCTATAAGAAACAAAAACTTGATACCACTATTTTCAAATATCATGTCATTACTTTAATGCTGTTGGAATATTTTATTAATTAAATAAATAATATTATAATATATTTCACATAATTAACGTTAATTATATAGATAATGGAAACTAAATTTTAGTTCACTTAGATGTCATGTCAGCTCTACTATAATACAAGTTCTTTATTACCAACGTATGTTATACAAAATTTTGGTTTAACAATCCTGCATTAAAGTTGCTCTAACAAAGATTAAATGCATGAAATCTGATTTTCTTTTTGACATATTGTAAATTTTATTTTAGACAATGTGGCAAGGGATGGATGGATTGAGAGGTCCAGGTCTTTCTGGAAGTGGTAATTACTTGAACAGAAGTGCATTATTATTTGGAAGTCCAAATCAAAAAGGTACATATTTGCTCATTATATATTAATAAAAAAAAATTCATTTTTACTTTTTTTAAAATATGCATGTTCATAGACATTTTTATTGGAGATTCTTCCTTATGATTGTAGATGAGTATCTTCATGATGCCCAAAACTATTTTGGAGGATCAACCGCATACATAGAATCACTCAAGGCCATTCATGGACAACAAGTTATGAAAAAGAATATTTCCAAAGAAGAAATTTTGCAAGAAGCTGAAATAGTTTCATCTTGCTCCTATGAATCAAACACAAAATGGGGCACAGAAGTAGGATTCTCATATGGCATTTTACTAGAGAGTACTATCACTGGCTATCTTTTACATTGCAGAGGATGGAAATCAGCATATCTTTATCCAAAAACACCATGTTTCTTAGGTTGTGCACCAACTGATATCAAAGAAGGAATGCTTCAGTTGGTGAAATGGTTGTCTGAACTTTGCTTGCTTGCTGTCTCTAAATATAGTCCTTTTACTTATGGATTTTCAAGAATGTCAACTATTCATAACTTCACTTATTGCTTCATGTCTATTTCATCTATATATGCTATTGGATTCATCCTTTATGGTATTGTGCCTCAAATTTGCTTCTTCAAAGGAATCCCTTTATTTCCAAAGGTACTAAAGCTCTTTTATTCAATTATTTTTTACTAGTCGTCAAGAGTATTACATCTTACAATATACGGTCTGAACATGTGTTTATAGGACATTTTCTAAATCTATTAGCTGGTTTCGTAAGAAAGAGTTAAGTCTAACCATATTTCTTAACATAATATCAGAGTTACCTACTATAATATTTTTACTATCGAATCACCCATCATTTATTTCTACCCTTCAGATATTCAGTCTTTGGCGTGATAGTTGTTTATAAGTTATGATTAACCACATTTCACTAATCCTATTTTTGTAATATACTTTTTAATAATTTAACATGTTTTCAATGATTGATACTACAGGTCACAGATCCTTGGTTTATAGTGTTTGCGATATTATACATAGCCACACAAATTCAACATTTGATAGAGGTAATTTCTGGTGATGGCTCAGTTTCAATGTGGTGGGATGAACAAAGAATTTGGATTTTAAAATCAGTTACAAGTTTATTTGCAATGATAGAGGCGGTTAAGAAATGGTTAGGATTAAACAAGAAAAAATTCAACTTGTCAAACAAAGCAATTGATACAGACAAAGAGAAAATCAAGAAATATGAACAAGGTAGGTTTGATTTTCAAGGTGCAGCTTTGTATATGTCTCCAATGATTGTGTTACTCATTGTCAACACTATTTGCTTCTTTGGTGGTTTATGGAGGCTTTTTAAAATAAGAGATTTTGAAGATATGTTTGGTCAACTTTTCTTAGTAAGTTATGTTATGGCTCTTAGTTATCCAATTTTTGAAGGGATTTTAACTATGAAAAGTAAGAGTGGGTAGTGAAACTTGTTCTAGCATCCAGAGTGCATAAGTATTTGTATCTTAAAATGAAATCTCTATGGTTATGTTTAGAATTTTGTTTAGTTGTTGTTGAGGGATTATTATGTTTAGAATAATAAAATAATTAGGCTTTTTATTTTCTTTCTTTTTTATAGCAATTAGTTAACTTCTTTACTAATATATGTGTGTGTGAATATATATGTTTTAATAAGAAATTATATTATTCTCGTAATTTATTTAGAAATTGATCATTTTTATGTCTTTATAATAAATTATAGTTTAGTTTATTTTGGATTGAAAATGAATCGAGTTGAGTCAAATTTGTCTCTTTTCGACTCAACTTGATAAAATTAGTTAAGTTTGCAATTTAATATGAATTCTTCACGAACCTTTTTGTTTGCTCAAATTTGATTTGATTCAAAGTTGATAAACACCTTAGTCCAACTCAATAACTCAAATTCGATCTAGATATATATCTCTATAATGGACAAAAAAAAAATTAAATTTTAGGAAAAACCTATTTTATTTAAGAACGACAAAAAAAACCTATTTTATTTAGGAAAAACCTATTTAGGAAAAACCTATTTTATTTTAGGAAAAATTCGATCTAGGTAAATATCTATAATGGACAAAAAAAAATTAAATTTAAGGACCACGTAATTTTACACTAGGCCAAATAAAATTTATTTAGAAAAGAAAAGAGAATTTTTTAATGCACCATGAATACTTCTTAGCTACCACGCGAAATTATTTAAATGTCTCTAGTTTCTAGAGATACATCTTCAGACGCGCCTATTTATGAATATACGTTGAAATATTTTGGAGATGCATCTCCGAAATAATTTAAAATATTTAATTCATCTCACTCACAAGTTATTTACATTTGAACTGTACCGAAGATGCATCTCCATAAATATTCCAGAGATACATCTTCGGATTATAGCAGAACAGGTGTTTAATGATATAAGTTATTTATTAGTGTGTAAATGAAGTATAACGTACAATCGCAAATAAAAAAATAGACGTACAAAATAATAAGAGACTACTACTATGTGTGTCGAAAATAAAATAGCAATAAATATATATAGAAAATGTCATACAATCTTATGTAAATGTGACGAATCAAGTGGTTACCCGTTTTATCAAGAACGAGATAATTTGGCGCTATGGGATTCCCAACAAGATTATCATTGATAATGGGTAAAATCTGAATAATAAGATGATGAAGGATTTATGTGGAAGCTTTAAGATCGAACATCATAACTCATCATCTTATAAACCAAAGATGAATGGTGTTGTAGAAGCAACTAACAAGAATATCAAGAAGAGCATTCAAAAGATGGTGAAGATATATAAAGAATGGCACAAGATGTTGCCTTTCTCTCTACACGAATATAGAACATATGCACTTCAACAAGGGCAACCCCTTTCTCTCTTGTCTATGGTATGGATGCTATGCTACCAATAGAAGTTAAGATCCCCTCACTGAGAGTCTTGATGGAGGATGAATTAGAAGAGGCGAAATGGATTCAAACTAGATTTGATCAGCTCAATCTAATTAAAGAAAAAAGACTGACAATGTTGTGTCACAGTCAGTTATATCAGAAAAGGCTCGATAGGGCATTCGACAAGAAGGTCTGACCTCGAGAGTTCAAAGTAGGTGACTTGGTGCTAAAACCATTTATATATCTTGGACCAATTCGAGTAGGCTTGAAACATATTAGGTCGTGTTCGTTTGGGCCCTTTGGTCAGTCAATAAGACAAATTGATTATAAACAAGTTTATAAATGCAAACTAGTTCTAAATTAAACTAAAACCATTTTAGCAATTAATTATATTTTTAATTGAAGTGGTTATCGCAAACTGAACCGAATCATTAATATGGTTTGGTTCAGTATAGTTCATGAACCCCGAACACCCCTAGTATGGTGTGTATGGGATGTCTGAGACGCGTATGGATACATGTAAGGAAGTGCACAGACGCGTATGGACATTGGTTGATTTTCTAGATGTGCATGGTCAGTGAAAAAAATGCTGAATTACCCTTTGGTGTCTTCATAAGACTTGTAGCTCTTAATATTAACTTTATTTTTTTTCTGTCAGTCGTTGTTGATGCGGTAAAGCAGCAAGCAAATAATATATTAAGTACCCAGTTTTGTCGTCTCCACAGGGATTAGTGCGATATGAACGCCGTTCAACGATTTCCATATTTCTAAGCTTATTTTCAAAAGGTTTCTTTTAAAAGGTTCAAAGAACCATGGATAAAAACAGAAAATATAAATAAATACTGAAATATAAACGAAGCTTTGTTGGGATTAGATTTCATCAATTGATAACACATGCATTCTTCTGATCAAATTAAACACAATGCAATCATTCGTCTAAAATCCTCACGTATCACTCACAACAAAGCTTATCTCTAATGTGACATCGAGAGAAAAACCATGTTGTCTCATTGGTGATCTCTCTACCAACAAAAACACATCACAGAGCATTAAGAACTGATACTCAAGCAAATTCTAAGCCTAAATCTATCTCTAGTATTTAGGACCTAACAGGTAATCATCCTAGTTCCAGATCCGAAAAGTATATTTCTATCAAAATTTAAATCAAAGATAAACAGGTAAACAAGGACGAAACCCATATCAGATAAACGATTATTTTGCATAAAATACAATGATCAAAATACGTACACACGCTTAACCCTTTTTACATGTATTTATCAAATCCGCCAAATGTCTGTGAACATCGTTCTTCATCACTATTATCACATACCCACACAATATCATATTGATCCTACCCATGCTACCCATGCTACTTAATCAACACAACACCATAGAAGATATAATGAATATCAACTTCAAAACCATGTCAAAAGTTTGTTCATTGATAGAAGAAAATCTGAGATCAAAGATGTGAAAAGGTTTTGTCAAGACCCACAAATACATAATCAAAGATAATCAATCAATAGAGAATCCAAACTAGTTCATAAACATAAATTAGATGAAATGCATAAGGTATCAAAAGATTACAATCCAAACCCCAACAAGAGATCGAAGATCTTACCTCCTCCCTCTTAGGGTTTTGAGTTTCTCTCTATAGAAGAAATGAAGAGAGATAAGTTCTGCTATCCAAAATGTTACAAAATGAAGTTATGACCTAAACAAGCAAGAAAAACACTTAAATACACATTCAAGATCTGTCATGTTCGGCTAGCGAACCTAGTGAACTTTTGGTACTTTCAGATCTGTCCAATTCTGGGCTCGTTCGCTACCTGCTCGCCTAGCGAGCATGACAACATTTTTCCACTGGAAGTGTTCGCTGGAGACTCGTTGCGCCTTCACCTAGCGAGTGCTCGCTACTCCCTCGCTGCATCTTCGCCTAGCGAGCTTTCTGTTTGTTTGCTTGCTTTCTTGGTTCCTTTTCCCATTTCTTGTGTCTTACTTTTCCATTTGTTTTATGCCTACTTCCTGCACAATAGCACACAAATTAAAGGTACCAAGAGATTTTCACACTATATCGCAAACCAAACAAAACAAGAGTGGTTTTCAACACTTTCTTGACAAAAATGAGTGAAAGATGCCAACTTTTGATAGATCAAATAAGTTAAATTTGGCATCTAACAACTCGCCCCAACTAGCTTTTTGCTTGTCCTCAAGCAAAGTATGCCTCTCATTTCGCAACAAGAGGATTTGCTCAAGACTAAGATTCACTCAAGAATGGATAAAAGTGGCTCAAACACAAATGATGCAGACAAGCAATGGTTTCAAATGTTTAAAATCAAACAATGTACAAGAACTAAATTCTTAAAACAAATATTAAGACATGTATCAATCAACAACTATATTTTTCATGAATGAATCACTTTATCTCTCCTCTTCGAATAAGGATTGAAGAAATTACGCGTTTGCAACCGCGGGGACAATTTCACTCAACTAACAAACAATGCCAATATCAATTTAATTCATACAAAATCTAACAATCAAAAGCGAAAATATGGAAGCAAGAAGATCACTAAGTTCTTTAAGATTGTAGCTTGGTCGGGTTTACAAATAAGGGACATTTCTAAGGCCATTAAAACGAAATTGCCGACGCAAAAGAGGCATTCACCGTACACGCTATTTACACATCTCAACTTCATTCCACTCATTTCTTAATTGCAAACCTTTCCAACTTTATTTCGCAACTCATTCTTTCACTATTTTTCTTTTCCAAGCAAGCATTTTTTTTCTTTTCTTTTTTCATATTCACACAATTTTTTGGTGCTTGCTTGAATTTTTCAAAAGTTGTAACAACCTACTGTCTTTCTTTTTCATTCGCGCCAACTTAACTTTTACTCAACCCTCAAGTGAATGCTCTTAGATTTTAATGGCAAAGAAGACAATTAAAACAAATTCAAGGGTTCAAGAAAAATTTTAGAATCTCACAAAATTAAGAATGAGATTCACATTGTTTAGGCTCAAAGGGGTTAACGAATTCTCTCTACTCACGGGTAAGTTGCATTTGAAACTGGTTGTGCTCAATAAAAACAAGTGCCTTGATCATTTCTAATGCTTCCAAAAATTCACAATGATAACAAGATAAATCATGAATCATACGAATCAACAAAGTTTATCAGAAACCCAATATTTAGTAAACAATGGAAGCTTTCTCACAAATTGTGGTTTTTGATCCTAAGTGAAACAATCATTCAAACAAGTTGCCAAAAGAACAAATTTCACTTGCACAAAGACTTAAGTTCTTAAGCATTCTAAAATTCTAAACAAAGGAAAACATGTACCTTGACAATATTCACTTGTTTCATACTATCATTGCCATCCAAACTCGGTCGAAGCTTCATTAAATGCTTTTATACCGATAGCAACCACTCTAAAAGGAGTTTTCGTCATTCCTAAACACACTAGAAAAAACATAAAAAGAAACAAATATATACAAAATATACAAAGCTTAAAAACATAGAACCATTGCAATGCACTTCAAAATCTCAACACCAATCCCCG